CAAAGGTGGTGGTCGCAGACTTGGCCCTCCTCAAGAAGTCTTCCGTGTAGGTCTGGTTGTAGCAATGTCTAGCCTGGTCACACTTCGCAAGGAGAACATGTCCGAGAGTTTTGTCGGACATGGACGACCGAAATTCAGTTCTTGTTTTCCTCACAAGGCTGAAGAGACGCTCACACTCTGCATTGCTGTGTGGAATTGACGAAATTCCAAGCATCACCTCAGCAATTCGGCTGAACTTCAACCTTCCATCTGCAGTTCTCAGCTGTGACACCAATCTCCACTGGGCATCCACTCGTTCTTGTAGAATATGGGGAGGAAGACCCTGAGCCTGCAACTCTGAAAACTCTACCTCCAGTGCGTCGACCACTTCCATTTTCGACTCTCCCGGTTGGAGAGGTAGCATCGCTGGAAAAGAGTCCACAAAAAAGCGAACCTATCGGAAAGACATGGTGTCCAAGGTTTTCAGCTGAACTACCTCTGCATTAAGCAGAGCAGGGTCTGTCAGGGGAAACTTGTGTTGCATGTAGTCACACACTGTCACAAAGTAGTGCCGAACTGCCTCAAAGAACTCCTGTTGCTCACTGGGCTTTAGCTTGTCTACCACAGTCCTAGTTTCCTGTCCAATGATGAGGTCCTCATCCCCTTTCTGTGCCTCCCTGCTATGGTAGTCCAAGTTGAGCAGCTCTGGGCTTCGTTTCAGCCACGATGGGTTTACAAATCTTGAGAAAATGTCTCGAAGAAGTTCCAAGAGAAGCGACCGTAGCACATGGATCTGGGGAGCTTGTGCTTGCAAGGAGAGGTTCACTTTCTCGAAAATGGGAATAATATTCTGCAAGAAGAGACAATATGCTCGGTTGGTTTACAGGCTGAGGAAAACAAGAAGCCGTTCCTCATGCGTTGGGCAGTGCTGGACAGTCTTCTGTGTGCAGGAAACCTTGGCTTTCTTCGCTGGCACTGAAGGAGCCTGTGTCAAGTTCTTTTCGTTTTGCACTGATCAGGCTTTTCTGCTGGAGCTGTTGCTTGCTTTGCTGCTGCCTTTGGGATCTGGTACGAGTCCAGAAAGCTGGGACTCTTTTTGTCCTTCACTTCGTACAAGAAGAAGCTCAACAGAGGCTTCCACTGATCCAGGAGCCTGGTCAAGCATTTCCCAAGAGATAGCCATCGAGTTGAGACATGTTTCAAGATTTTTCTGAAGTCTGCATCATGAATTTCCTGAAACTGCCTCAAGGCCTCCTTCCTCTTAGCACTCTTTTCCAGGTAATAAAATATATCTACAAGAACTTCGTCCACTTTTGCTGGAAGGCACACTGCTCCCTTTTCAGCTGCCAAGTTTATTAAGTGGCATGCGCACCCGATTTTAATCAAATTTTCTTGGACTTCCGTCAGCACCACTGCCACGCCATTTTTTTTACCAAGCATCACGTTGGCGTTGTCGGAACGAAACGCTACACAGTTCGTGGCCGGTATATGAAATGACGCGAGAGCCTCCAGAATTAGGTTGCCTATGTTGCGACCCCTTGCTTGTCCCGTCAACGTACACAAAGAAAGTAGTCGACACTCAACTAAGCCAGACTCCCCCACGTATGTCACCACGATCGGGTACAACTGCGAGTGGTTATCATTACTGCCGTCGATGGCAACCGATAAAACTTTTTGCTTCAAGGAACTCACTATGCGCTCCTGAGTATGGTTTGCCATCTCGCCAACAATTGCACTTGTCTTGGTTCTCGCACAGCCATACCGCTTTGCGACATCCGAAGTAGGGAACATCTTTCGTAGCAGGGGACCCACGTGGTCAGAGACGGTCAATGGAAGGTTATGTTCCTGCAGAAACCCAGTGAAGGGACATTCCGCTCGGATCACGTCACTATCAGAGTTCCGCTTTGAAAAAAACTGCCCCAGCTGCTGCTGCTGCTTTTCTTGGCATTGCACGTGACTTGCGTGTTTCTTGGATGAAATGTGAGCGACAATGTCGGTTTTGCCTCCGTGAGAAACGCTGATGTCGCAGCCACACCGCGGAGAACGCAAAATGCTTGCCCTTCCTCGATTCCACGATGCAGGGGAATTCGGATGTGTACTGCTTCAAAACACCTGTAAGTACTGTTTTCGCTCCCGCTCTTTACTAAGAACCATGGCTGACAGCAAACCAAGACACCAACACCACTGCTCCGAAGCACGCCAACTCAACCGCTAACAAAGCACAACATGGCGAACATCGCAAGCTCGATCAACCGAGTGATGGCGATGGCAGTTGGTCTGGCAACTTTGGTGAGACTAATCAAAACCAACAGTAAATTTTCTGCTAAAAACGGCTAAAAATTTCCGCAACACTACGTTTTGGCACGTTTACCGGAAGATTTTTGCGTCAACCGTACAACCGTACAAAGGGGTCAAATCCGGAAGACTTGGCAGGTCTGTAATAACATAAAAAATAGTTGAAATCTGGAAATTTTCCAGAAAATCCGGGAGACTTGGCAGCTATGCAATAGGAATGACATAGCCCAGCAACCTTTGTCGATGGCAATTCTAGCCTAATCAGATGGCCTTCAAGCAGAGCCCAAATTGTAGCCAAGACAAATAAGCACAAATTTATTGTGAGTAATGCTGTGCTTCTAGTCAGATATGCTGTGTGATATGCAGATGCAACAGACATCCGAATAGTTAGTGCACGTACGAACATGAAAGCTAAGGAATGCTTCAGTCAAAGTGAAGGACAAGCTGTCAAGCAGAATTTTGCTCAGTCTTACTTATGCCGTAGGCTGCCACGGTTGTGACAACCAGTACATCTGTGAGACAGGCGATTTCAACAAAAGAGTTAAACAACACGAATACAATCTCACAAAATCACCCGTGACCTCAAATGCCCTCACTGAACACTTGGAATCTACAGGCCACCAAATTGACTGGTCAAGCATGCTTGTTCTGTCCAAAGAAAAGAGGCGTGCATCATGCCTGCAGCTGGAATCGCTGCACATTCAAATTGCACACACCCTGAACAGGAGTGATGAGACGCTTCTGAAGATGTACTCTCGGTGCTACGTCATGTACTTAGTATACTTGAGTACGCTGCGCATTTCCGATGGCTTTTATTGCAAACAAGGCTCCCATGTTGGGTGCCGAAACGTCAGTAAACTGTGCTTTTTTGGTCGGTGTATCCTTTCGTGTTTACGCTGGGAAGCAACAGTTATGCACTGCATTTTTTTCTTGCCTGGTCTAGCTGTTCACTGTATTTGCAGCTGAAGAAGCAACATTTTAAACTTTGATCAATGGTAATGCTTATTTTTGTGATGGTCACAAAGAGAGAGAGAAAGAAAGAGAAGGAATGTAGGAAAGGTAGGGAGGTTAACTAGACTATGCATCCAGTTTGCTACCCTACACATGGGGAGGGGGAGAGGGGAGTAAAAGAGAGAGAGAAGAATAGACACATGTCGCGTCACACACACAATGCCGAGTTTCACAGGCGGTCCCTCAATGAAGTTGCTGTCAAGTATCTCAGGAGGGCTCGTGTGGCTTTCTGTACCGATGTGCTGCGCGACCAGCCTCCTAAGATCTTTGCTTCATTAAATGGCCGGTCATCGAGTCTATTCAAGGCACACTGGAGAGTCCGGCGATCTTCATCAAATTTGGCACAGTGGCACAAGAGATGTTCAATAGTCTCTATACAGTTGCAGCTTTCACACATGGATGAATCCGCCATGCCAATGCGATTGTCACAAAGACTGCCATCAGTTGCTATGATCTGGCCAGGTTTTTCGGAAATTCCCCAACTTTTCTAGGTTTTCCAGGTTGGTAGACAGCCTGATGACATGCTTCCTGCCCCACAGCCATCAAATGCGGACTTCGCACAGGCCGTATTGTTGCTGTTGTCTGGCTACAGCAAAAGCCAGACACTTGCGTATATAGAGGCAGACTTAGTCGTGCAGATACACATAGATAGGTTTTTCCAGACATTGGGCCAACAATGGTGCTTTTTTTTTTGGGTCGATCCTCTTTCAAACTCCCAATCAGTCATTTTGTTGAGTCCGAAAAGGGTCGGCGACTGTAGTACAAGTCACCATGGCTGAAGTGGTCAGTGAATCAAGGTTTTATGGATACTTTATCAGAAGTTGTACTATGCATACATTGGGTAGGTTTTGTTGTAGCAAGCCATTTGATTCCGCACCAGGAAAACACAATCAGCCTGGCATTAGTGAGGGGCAACATGCTGCACAACAGCACAGCAAGTGATGCCCTGGGATGTTTAGTACTTTGCAATGATACCACCAGTGACCGGTTGTGTAGCGTGAGCAGGCTTTTTCAACCAGCAGACTCTGCCTGCATCGGGTTTCGAGGCAAGAGAAGGGGGGAGCTTAGGAGAGAATGGATGAGCATGTGCAATAGGGGGTGTAAATGCCACTGGGAGGGATGCCTGGAGGAAAGAGAGGGGGCAGAAAGCGTAATAGAATGCTTCCTGAATCATTGAGAGAGAGGGGGAGCATAGGGAAGGAGAAGAGGAGCGGATGCGCAGCAAGAGTGCTCACCCCACACCTGATTGAGCTTGACCATAAATAAGCTCCTTCGCATCTAAAAGCACTATGCCCGCGCGTGAAACCCTGCAGACTGCGCATCAAACATAGCAGTGCACTCACAATTACAGCACGACAAACCAGACCAATGAGGTAGAATAACACCGCCTTTTTATCACATGAGCTCAGAGAGATTGGGCCTTGCTAGAACATGAAAAATTATCAATACACTAGTTGGAAAAAATGCTTTTTTTAGGCTTCAGTGCGGCGCAGGGTTCAATGTAGCGGGTGTTCCGCTGTGCGGGAGTTTGATATACGCGTGCCCCAGCCTGATACTTTTGCATCGGAAATTGAAGGGAATTTCTGAACAGTTCGATATAGCCAAAAATTCTTTATAACCAGGATTAACTGCGCTCAGCAATGCGCACTTAGACAAACACAATGCTGAGTATCTGTAGTATACAGTCATACACATGGTATAAAACAAGAACTCACGTCCAGTTCCGCTTTGGACTCCGGGAATCGCTCCCTGTCATGGGCATCGATGAGGAAAACTATGGCATCCACAGCAGGGAAGTAGTCTTTCCAGACTCTACGAGCTGTGCACAAGTAAAGGAAAGTTTGAAGTAAAAGCTTGGTAATTCACACATCAGCATTTCAATCTTAAAAATTTGAAGTACGTTCCTCGGTCCAATTAAGACTCGTAGGATTCCAGGCTATTCATTTGCATGCAAATTTGAACTGCACATCACCATGACCAGTCTGGTGACCATGACTGGTGGTCACTTTCCCTGCTAAGCAAGAGGCGGCACGTGCGACTTACTAGCTGCCGTTCCAATAATAGGGTCACCATTCACCAATCACCCAACAATACCACCCTTTTATCTCAAAGGTTATGTTTCTGAAGATGAAAACTTGTCATGGTTGCCTTACATCAACCACAACAGTTTACTGTATGCAAGGGTGCAGAATTTGAAGCAATTTTTGGAGCAGCAAAATTTTGCTTTTGCAGGATCAAAATGAAATTTGGAGCAGGTTCCAGCGAGAGAAGATCTATTTGTAATCACGAAAGACCATATTTGAAGCATTATAAAAAAAGCAGGCTTACATTTAGAAAAAAAAAAAAAGGCACGTACAAACCATTCAACATACCCTCAATCATGCACAGTAAACATGAGCACTGCTATTTGAATAAAAGTATTCTGAACCACCCCACTGGGCAAATAATAATGTCCACATTAGCATTTGCCGCATCTGTCACATATTTTGGTAGACTCTGCAAAAGCAAACGTGGATATGCCAAGTTCGCTACCAAGAAAATCAGAGGATTCATGTAGGCTTGTGCGAATATTTTAACACTGAATATTCGAATGAGTAGTTTAGTATTCAAAGTCACTTCAATTCGAATTTAAATTATCGAACATTTCGAAGTATTCGCAATAAACCCAATGAACGTGTACCCCTTACATACATTTAATTTTAAAAAATGTGTACCCCACGGTAGTATATTGGGGCCGTTACTTTTTATTACTTACATTAGTGACATTATCAATATAAATCGCACAATCAAATATGTCATATGCGAATGACACTTTCTCATTTTCCACAAGCATTGATGTAAATGATCTAATTTGAACGACAAACACGACACTAGATGACTTCTTTGCATGGTAAACTGCCAATTCCCTTCAAATCAATTGTTCAAAAGCTAAAGTGCTTCTGTTTCGTTCCAAAGGAACAACGTAGAAGGCTACATCAAAACATCTGCATGATTCTGCGATTAATTTTTCTTCGACGGCAAAAGCTTTGGGCATTGTTTTTCACGAGCATATGTTGTGGGATTCACATAGTGGACTGGTAAGAAAGAAGTTAAGGTACTCGGCATGCTTAGGAGATGTCAGTCACTTTTACTAACTTCTCAGACGTTATTGATCTACAACACGCTTTTTTATTTCCAGCTACAGTATGGCATTTTGGTGTGGGGAAACGGCACCTTACACTCGAAGCAGAAATTACACTTCAAAAAAAAAAAAAAAAAATTCCTTACGTTCTATTGCAAATGCCAAGTATAATGCACATAACTAAAATTATTGAATAAAATCGAGGTAAGATTTGAAAACACGTATGAATATTGCTTATTAGCATACCTAAAATCTGAAAATAAAGGAAATGACAACCTTCTCTCCATCGCATGCTTAGAGCACAGCACCTCGCCTCAACCTACTAGACAAAGCGATTATTGGAAGATTTCTCGATGCTAAACAAACTACTGTCTCCAAATGCTGAAATATTTACTCCCACACATACTAAATAAATTCAGTTTTTCATTCCAGCGATTGCGCCTTCTTTTGCGACAGGACGTCTCCAGTCTACTTATGTGATGCAGTAAGAGATTTTGTATTGTGGTTATTCCTACATTGTATTTTTTTGAAGAGTGCAATCTTGTCTACATGTATAGAATATTTATTATGCCACTTTCAACTATAGATTTATTGTCTGTTTACCGTTTTGATTGACCTCACGAATGCTGTCACTTTTTCTGCCTTGTTTGCTGGGATGTGGAGCTAGTCAAGCTGCGTTTGTATCTCAGCTTTTTTCCCGCATTCCATACAACATATTATATCTTTGTTGTGACTAAATCAATGTAAATGTGTAATCTTGTGGCAAGAATAAACTTCAAACGAATAGGTGTACGTTAGTCCGCATGTAACCGCCTGCAGAGATGGTTTTGCTGCAGTGTAGGGGTGCTTAGCCGTGAAAGCACCTATCCACAAGAAATTCGCTTTGCCGCAAAGCCACCTTTAATAATTAAAGGGGGCCCTGCAACACTTGTTGAGCATGGTCAGAAAACACTGCCACTCAGTAGTTGAGGCCACAGAGAACACGCGAGGCAAGCATTGTAGCGCAGCATGCGGCCTGCAATTCAAAATAAGTTTGCAAAGCCAAAAATTGCTCTCTTCCCTCAGCAAATGACACTACAAGCTCAAAAATCCCTTGTCACAGTCATTAGCTAATTTCAGCATGGCGCGCTCGCCATTACCGGAGCCACCGGAAGGTAGGGGGGGCCTTGAAAGGCCGCGCATTCGAAGAAAAAATAGAAAAAGTGCTGAAGGTCGCGATGCTTGCACGATGTTACCGTAATTACTCGAATCTAACGCGCACCTTTTTTCCGGTTAAGCGAGTTCATGAATCGCATGCGCGTTAGAATCGAGTCCGAACAAAAAAATTACGGTCAATCTATTGCCATAGCAAATCCAAAATGGCCGCCCCCTAGTTGCTTCGGCATGGTGCGTCGGCTATTTCTGCCTATGTGTTTACCATGTGCGGCACTTCGTACGTGTGCTGAGGAGTTCGTCATCTAGTAGTGCATTAGCATCGACGACGTGGAAGGGCCGACTCCAAAAACTCGAGTGCACCACGATGCCGCTTTTAAAAGAAAAGTCATCGCGTGTGCAGAAACGGACGGAAATCGGGCCGCATCGCGGTCCTTCTCGAAACGTGCGTGCGGGACCGGCGGAAACAAAAGCAGAAGATTGTCGACAGCAAAGCTTCACGCAAAGGCTTCAGTGAACCACAGCAGGGTCGGTTTCCGCAAATTGAAGAGCTGCTCCGCGAGTATGTGCTTGAGGAGCGAGCGGCACAGCGGCCCATGACGACAGAACTGCTCCAAGTGCGGGCTATGCAATTAGTCTTAGAAAAAAGTCTAATGCGGAGCCTGTTTAAAGCGAGCAGGTGCTGGCTAATTAACTATATGAAGAGGAAAGGCTCTTCCCTCCGAAGGGGAACATGCATATGCGAAAACTTTTGCGGAGAAGTACGATGAAAAGCTTTACAGTTTTCAGAGGTTCGTCCTAAACTTGCGGTGCAACAACGCCTACCTGCTTGGGCAAATCTGGAATGCCGATCAGACGCCTCTTTACGTCGACATGCCTGGCACCACAACTGTCGAGAAGAATGGGGCGAAGCAAGTTCGCGTGCTGACATCGGTCCACGGTAAAACTACAGTGACGGCAATGCTCTGTTACACGTCAGATGGGCACAAGCTTCGCCCGTACCTCATATTTAAATGGAAGACAATCCCGAAAGGAATCGTTTTTTCGAGTGGTGTGATCGTGCGGGCCAGCAAAAAAAAAAAAATGGGTGCGCGTTGCAATCGATGTCTTACGTTATTTTTTTTTTTTCGCGGTGGAAATCGGGTGCGCGTTACAATCGAGGGCGCGGTAGAATCGAGTAAATACGGTATTTCTTTTCCTGTACCATTCCTTTCCTATTTAGCTTCCAGCTCTTTCGTCAGGACGAGAAGAGAGAAAGCAATTGCAGCGTGCGAAAAATTTTGGAACTCCACTCGTACTGGACCGATTCTAAAAATTGTGGCGGTGAATTTGTGAGGCAACAAGCACATTTACTGGCTCCATGGCTACTTGAAAAAGTGTTGCAAGGCCCCTTTAAGTGAACATGTTACTCTCAAATCAATTCATTTTGTTAAGCATAAAATCTTGTTATAACTGCTTATATGCTTCAGTACTATAATAAATTTTAAAACTTTAAGTATCTTACAGGTTATCACTCGCATCCTACTGAAACCTGTATTCCACTACTACTCAAGGTTGCTTCGACTTCCTTTGAATGAAAAAAATAAATTACATTTGCATAGAGCCCGTATATCAATTGAAAAGAAATAGTGTGCAGGTTAGTTAGGTTATAATGAATATTTCCATTTTTTTTGTGTTATACATACCATTCAAATTCGATTCGAAATTATCCGACCAAAATCACTATTCGCTTCGAACCTAAAATTCACTATTCGCACAAGCCTAGATTTGCCTAGCTGAGGAGTAGGGGTGGAAAAAAAAAGCACCATTTTCCTTTTTTTTTTAAGGCACCACTGATGTCATAAACTGCTCTAAATGATTGCCCGTAACATTTTTAAAAGTCACCAATGATACAAGTACCGATAGTTATGTGGCATATACATGCATGAGTAATTGAACAAAATGAGCTGTGTCCCGAGACTAAATGCTAAGAGCCCCTCGAAAACAATACGCTTTTCCACAGGGCACTGGTGTAGTGCGGCGAACTTAAGGCCAACTAAAGCAATTTTTCGAGGGCAGTGGGTCTCGAAGTTCACTGGGTACACTCATTTGCACGTTTGCGCCATTCATGCCAAATTGCAGGCTTGAGAGTCTCGCAGATTCTTTCCAAATGAATTTTACAGCTAGCCTCAAATCAAAACGCTCGCCTCGCTTGTCAGAATTAATGGCAACATTGTGTGTGTGACGTTGAGTTTTGCCTGGCGGGAGTGACGAACTGATGTGCCACTGCATTGTCTGCTTGTCTGTTATGGATTGTGTGGGCATGGCCGGCGCATCCTTGGTTGAGAGTGCGATTTCCTTTCCTATGTTGGTGGGCGTGTGATAGGTGCCAAGTGGTGTTGCGTTGTGAGCCACAAACGATTCGCTATATATTCACCATAACAGCACAAGCGCTTTAGCTGATCACCACGGACAGCGTGGACAGGTAGTGCCATCTGGTGGGCATTATGTGCTATCAGGCAGGTTCTGGCAGCATCAGGCAAATATTTACGTCACGCGTAGAAGTG